ATATATATACATGTATGTATATATGTGTGTATTTAAAAATGTCGTTCGTTAGATTTTATTGCCATTGTTTGTAATTTAATTTGCTGATTTATGCAGGCAACTCAATCACAATTAAAAATGCCAACTGCGCTGATTTGTTGGCCTTGTTGGCGTCACTTTGTTTATGCCAATTTATGAGGCTCGGCATGAGGCCTGATTATTGCCAATTAGCCGCAATTGTTTTTGCTAGTGTCAGCATCTGGCCCCGTCGCCCAGCCAAGGGTTAACATGGCCAAAACTAAACCGTCGTCAAAAAAAAAAAAAAAAAAGCCCACAAATCATTGAGTGAGTCAAGTTTGAGCACTTTGAACTGGCCCCAATCCAAGCGCATGCGTCAAAAGAAGCGCCCAACGCTGGTTGGAGGACTCTATACTGGAGAAGTGCTCAAGAGCGCCTTGCTGGCGTTTAGTTTGAGTGAAATCGTTAAGAGTAATTCGAGGCATTTCATTTAGATGACGTCACGCGCCTAAAACTAATGCATTTCTTATACTTTTCACACTAAAACATTCAAGCTTACAAGAAAAACAAAGTTCTAAACAGCTCAAACATATACATTTATATATATATATATATATGTATTTATTATGTATAGATGCCAACATCAAATGCCAGCATCATATAACCAAGTGATCAACAAATATTTTACGCAAATGAATTTATTTAATTTAGTCCGCATTATTATTCCCCATTGGATTGCCAAGGTTGAATTTTTGATTATTTCTGGTTTAGGTTTGTTCCAGTCACTTCAGGCAAGCTAAATAGATTATCTTTATAATTTTACTAGCCAAAACTTTGCGGAACGAATTGGCGTCACTGAAACTAACTAATTTTCTAGCATTGATGATCAAGGTTCTGAATTCCTTGCTTCTATGAGGAGCAAGGAAAAAGGTTACGCTTATTAAGCAAAGTATTGAAAGACAACTCGATGATAAACATAATTTAATGATATCCAGTGAATGAAACTCAGCAGAATTCAGAAATTCACAAACTGATTAAATTGGCCTTTAGAGAGTTTCTTGAATGCAACAATGTTTCTTTTTCGTCCCTCCTTTTGATTATATTTGATTGGCAAAGCTAGCTGATTCTCCTAGCTTATGCTATTAGGAGTTCATGTACGGCGAGCATAAACATACTTAGCTAATTATATTAAACATGTAATCAATATAAAGTTTTATGGACGAAATATATATTTTGCTGGGCTCGCAACAAAATCGTTAAGACGCCGCAGGCAATAAAATAAAATGGAAAATGCAATTAAAATGTTTGCAGACGATGTTGGCGACGCATTGAGACACTTGCAATGCGCCAAATGTTTCCCGTAATTGCTGCTGGCTCATTAAAGTCCAAGTTCTGGCTGCCTGCACTCAGTCCAGTTCCACTCCATTCTAGTTCGCTGGGAGCGCAGCTGGCGTGCGAAAAGTGCCAAGCGGCGGGCTTAACAATGCGTTACATTCGCTTTGGCATTGGCATTCGCTTCTGACCAGAAAGAGAGAGATGAAGAGAGAGAGAGAAGGAAGTACAAGACCATTGGACGCCCCATGGAAAACATTAAAAATCCATTGCACAAAGCTAGATGAATAGGCTACAGCAGCAGCTAAAGGGGATAGCAGACAATTGCCGCTTTAGCGTTACGCATACGCCGCGTATTTCATTCCATTTAATTTCTCTCCTTTTGACCGGCCAGTGAGTGGCTTGCTTAATTAATAAATTGATTGGATTGTTTTCACAGCACGCAGCATCACGCGTACTCTCTGTGCTTGTTTTTATTATGTGCTCCATCTCTTTTCTATTAAAAATTTGAAGTCAGGGTATAATGGCTGTGTGAAAATGTACGCATAGAAGAAGAAGAAGAAGAAAAAGTATATAAGAGACCAAGCTTCCATTTCGAATACCTTCCCATTCCAAGATTTCATTGGAAAGTGATTATTATCATTAATGGAAACATTTCTTCACTTTTGCTTTGTATACATATGTATTTCCATTCCCCAATCATTATCGGTAAACAATTGTCACAGAAACATGTTTGACTGTGCATATCAAAGTAATGCACACATCAAACATAGACAGTGCATTGAACTGGAGCCCTTCTCTGTATAGCCATAAACAATTACTAACCATAACTATGGACATTTCTTTCTTTGTTTTTATTTTATTTTATTTTATTTTTTTTTTTAACAAATTAAGTTTGCAAATCTGTTGCGCAAAATGTCTTAACATTATTCATTCGAATTATAATTTCATTGAACCATTGGAATACCAAAAATCACTCCTCTTACACTCATTCTGTTAAATCGAAACTTGTCATATACTGTACATTAAACTAATAAATATAAGTTTGAGTTGACATTTTAACTGTCGTAGACTACTGCTTAAGTTAGCCAAAGGAGTTGATGTTTTTATATTTTCACTTATCTATTTTTATACCCTGAACCCATTTTCAATGGGAAATCAGGGTATAATGGTTTTGTTGAAATGTATGTAACAGGGAGAAGGAGGCGTGGCAGACCCCACAAAGTATATATATTCTTGATCAGGGTGACGAGCTGAGTTGATTTGGCCCTGTCCGTCTGTCTGTCCGTCTGTCCGTCTGTCCGTCTGTCCGTCTGTCCGTATGTATGAACGCGTCGATTTCAGAAGATATAAGAGCTAGAGACTTCAAATTTTTTTTAAAATGTCCGTAATTACAGCGCGCATATCAAGTTTATCATTAAAAATCGATAACTCATCCCGATCTTTTTTTATCGATAAAAAACTTATCGAAACCCAGTTATAAAATTATATCTTCTACACCTTTATTGCTAGAGTCTCCAAATTTTTAATGTATGCTTATATGCAATTTATACAATTTCGGTTTTTGTTAAAATTTACCCCCCACCTCTAAATTCACCCCCTCACCCTCACTTTTGTAAAAAGCGTATTTCAAATACTAGAAACTTGTGCTTTGGCAATTACATGAATATTCATGTTATAATCATAATCTAAAAGTTTCATGAAGATCGTACGTCCATAAAAAAAGTTATTAAACAATTAAGTTCTCATAGTAAGCGCACACTGCAGCCCATGCGTGTTTATGCGTGGTTGCTTGTATGTGTATGTGTGTGTGTGTATGCGTTTGTGTCTGTATGCGTGTGTGTGTGTATGTGTGTCTGTATGCGTGTGTGTGTATGTATGCCTGTGTGTGCGTGCGTGCGTGTGTGTGTGTGTGTGTGCGTGTTTCTTGTGTAAGCTGAAAGTCGCGAAAAAGTATTGAAATATCTATTGCTCCAAGGGTTCAGGGGATCTCGTAGTCGAGCAGTCTCGACTAGAGCTTTCTTACTTGTTTAAATATATACGAGTTATAAAGTGTTTTGTTTTCCTTTATGGAGCTTCGGTAGGATTAAGAATGTGCACCATATGATCCGGAGGCATCATCACTGCTATTATGGTACGTAGAAGTATAACAATTTTCATAATACAAGAATGGAACTGTTGAATAGTGCGAATTGCTGCTCAGCTAGACTGTAACTCTATTTTAATACCATTACGAAGTCAATCAATTACAGTCTAGTCTCCTGAGTATATATGTATCTTAAATAAGACGCCATACAAACCCTAAAATACCACGTGCCTCAGATTATATCATTATGCAACCATTTCGAATACAATCCGGCACACTTAAGAATATTATCTTTTAGTGCTGCGCTAGATATATATATATATATATATATATTATATCCGGCATACTTGCAGAAGGCTGATTCTCAAAACGTAAAACCAATTTGAGCTATATCAAAATAAGTAAAATAATAAGAATATATGTATGTATGTAGATAAATGACAATAAATTCCACCTGTCTGAGATTATATATAATTACGGTAAAATACCAATTTCTATGTATATTACAACCATTTTAAATACAGTTAGACACACTCAAGAATATCAGCTATAAAAGCTGAAGTTGGGCTGATATTTGACATACTTGAAGAAGACGAAATCTCCAAGATGAAGCTCGCACTGATTCTTTTGGCTGTTTTTGCAATCGTTTTTCCACCACCGTTTGTCACCATTTTTCCACCACCCGACAGCGATAGCTAATAAGGTGGTAAACAATAATTATGCTGAGGCAATAATTATGCTCCGAAAATAAATTGATTTGAGCTAAATTTTGTCGTGAATTTCTTTTATTTTTGGATTTTATTGAAAGCACTTAGGGAAGTTGGTTGCACAACTCCCAAGGCTCAAAAGAAGCTTGGCTATCAGCTGCATCAGTTTTGTTTTTGTTTTTTGTTTTCGGGATTTTTTAGTTAAATTTTCAATTTTGTTGGAAGCCGCTACGATATTATAAAAAATCAAGTACTTTTAGCTACATCATTTTAAGCCAGGGAAAATATTATTTTAGTACCTTCATACCATCCATTTTAAAATGGACTTGCTATGACTTCTATTCTGTTCTGTTCTGTTGCATGCTGCACAGTCACATTGCTGTTTGTGAGTTAATGTTTTTCATGTCATTCAGTTAACAGCTTTTTCTTGTTCATGTAACTCGTGCATTGATCTGAAGCTCTGATTGCTGAGCATCTTGATGCGAGTTTTCTTTATTAAATTAAATTGTAAATACATTTGGCATTAAATTTGGCATATTTCTATATTTACTAAATATGATGCCTATATATATTTAATGGTTAGACCTAGGCAGTGCTCCTTTGCATTGGGATGCCAAAAAAAGTTTCTTTTACTTAATTTGCATTCATTTTGGTCACACGAGCCTTGACATGTGCCCACATTTGTCTGTTTGTCAGCATGTTGTTAGCTGCTATTAAGTTGGCCACAAGTTGCTACGCGACAGTCTCTACACACACACACACACACACACTCACACACGTACACATACACATACGGTCACACCAGTGCACATAGATGCGGCATGCCCTGTTATTATGACCAGCAATTCAACAGTTATCCTTTGGCTTGGCTTGGTTGAGCTCCTGTTTTTACGAGCGCCACTTGAACCCGTTTATTTTGCATGTGTGCCCGTTTTCTATTCTTTTTTGTTATTTTATTTCAAGTGGTTTGGGAGCCAAACACATTTCACATGTCTCTCATCGTCCGGCGCACTTATTTCCACTTCCTGTTTTGCGGCCAAAACTTTAGCGCCGGGAAACAGGATTGTCTTTCCCCATGTCTTGCACAGTCTTCCTCTATACACAGCTCCTATTTCCATGTCCCCAGCTTGGTGTGTTTTTGCTACAATTTTCATTTGCTAGCCACGGCCTCGTAAATCATGCGCTGACATCGCTAGAGAAATTGTAGCTGCAGTTCATAATAAAAGATAAGAAAAAATATTTTCAAATGCTGCTCCACTCGAATTTTTAAGGGGAATCGTCTGCCAGTGTGGTTGCTGCATTCGAATTAATAAACCTTGTTGAAGAGTGCCCACCACATGAGAATTAGTAAACAACTCTCAAGTTATTAGAAAATAAAAAATAATGTAAATAATAAATATATTTATCATATAATATAAGACACCACACAAGGACTAAAATTACACATGCCACATGTTACATAAGCAGAAAATTATTAGAAAACACTTATTTTTATACATTTTACATCCATTTCGAATGCAATCAGACACACTAAAGAATACCAGATAAAAAAGCTGAAGTTGGTTTGATATTCGACATACTTGATCTATTGAAAAACTCATGAAATTTCATATGGGGGCACCCTTAATATAATGCTTGTGAAAAATGCCCATATTTTATATTCCAGTTTATATTCTTGATCAGAAAAACAATATTGGTCGAATTTGTGATCTCTTCATACCTGAATGCTAGACTGAGTCAAATTGTAGCAGTGGTCAGGGTATATCCTAGTCGGTTTCACATTCGATTTGTCGTTTGTATACGCTAAACGTATTTTCAATGGGAAGTTTTGGTTTGTTAAATGTATGTAAGAGGCAGAAGGGGGCGTGGCAGACCACAAAGTATATATATTCTTGATCAAGGCGACGAGCTGAGTCGCTTTAACCCTCTCCGTCTATTGATCCGTCCATCAGTCCGTATGTTTGAACGCGTCGATTTCAGAAGATATAAGAACTAGAGACTTGAAATTTTTTTTCTTAGATAGATAACTTTTCGTCCATATGCTTAGACTTTCGCTTAAGTTAGCTAGTGCTAACTGCTGTTTTTTCCGTTACTTGCATTTTAGTTACTTTTTTTCGAAAGGCTCCGTGAATATCATATGCTCCAAGAGAGCTATTAGAGTACAAATAAGTATAAAAATTTGCATAGTGCAAGAAGCTTATTTACTAAACTTATGAGACTGTAACTGATTGAATTTGTAATGGTCTTAAAAACAAAGAGCCATACGAAGACTAAAATGCCATCTGTCTGAGTTTATATAAGCAGATAATCAAAGCAAGACATTTATTCCTATTCATTAAATAACCATTTCGAATGCAGTCAGACACACTCAAGAATATCAGCTATATAAGCTGAGCCTAATTTGATATTCTACATAGTTGAAGAAGACTAAATCTCAAACATGAAGCTCGTACTAATTCTTGTGGCCGTTCTAGCAGTCGCAAATCCACCAATTCATCCGTGGAAGCCCCCTGGCAACGGATAGGTCAGCACGGACTCATTCCCAAAAGTTTTCCGATAATAAAAGGATTTGAATATTATTTTGTTGTCAATTGTATTTATTTTTGATTTCACTGAAAGCCCTATCGATCTTATCATAGGCAAAGTACAGAGTCAAAAGCACCTTTGCTATTAGCTACGTCAGTTAAGATGAATTGACGTGCATCTATTAAAAATAAAAAAACAAATGATTGAGTAACTCCGAAAGGACTTTACCGCAATTAATTTGTTTTGTTAGCTCTTTAATACAAGAAAGAAGAAATGATTTACTAATTTCTTTATTTTCTTAGCATTGGTTGAGTTTTAGCAATTTGCTTTGGTGTAACAGAAACAACGCTTATTTTTAACATCCATTTTATTACATGATCCGAACTGGAGATCACTAAACTGCGAGTAGCACTTCCATTGTGAATTTGAGTGCATTCATCGCACATGGATAAGGGAACACTATGCAATTCAGCTTAACTTTAATTATGCAAAAGCCAAAAACAAATGCGACTTGGTCTGCATGTTCGTCTAAGCTGCAGTCGAAGGTCGAGATGGAGTCGACTCCGGAGTTGGAGTCGGAGCTGCAGTGTCTGCAGCATGTTGGCGAGAGCTCCGCACTAATTAATCCCTTTACGACTGAAACCTATCAAAACACGAGCTTAACTTTTCCAATAAAAATAACGCCGCTCCACGATGCGAACGACGACACCGCAAAAAAAAAAACCAAATATATGTATATATGAATACATACTTACGCTAGCTGGGAACCACAAAAAGCACAAGGAATGTGCCAACTTCTGACCACAGCCGGAGCAGGACCGCGAGGACACCGGACAGACTTTGTGTCCTGGCTCAAAATGCAGCAAAAGTTGGCGCACTAATTACCAAGGATTAGTTTCATATTTGTTTGTCAACATCAGCAGCAGGAGCAGCAGGAGCAGCAGCAGCAGCAGTAGCAGCAGCACCACCAACAGCAACAGAGGCTGCAACACGAGCAGCTGCTGTGCGCTTGTCCTTAGTGTCCTGCCAGCCAAGTTGGCAAGATTATTTATATGCCCAAAGTTTCAGCATTGCGTGGCGTCTGATTAAAAAAAAAGAAGAGGGAAATAGCCACAAAACAAAAGGAAGAAAAACGTTTAGCTGCCATCATATTCATAATGAAATTAACTCGATTGAATGCGCTGATTATATTCATAGCATACTTCTGCGGACCGAGTCCCAAACCCCCCCTACAAGCAACGAGGGTTGCACAGGACAGCGCTAAAGGCCGCCCACTTGGAGTGCGTTAATCCGTTGGGCAAAATATGAACGGCAAAGGCACATGACGCATATAGATACCCTATAATAGCACTGTAAACTATAATTGATATCGGTGCTGATATGCTGATCACTCTAGCATTATAATAATATTTCATATTAACTGAATTCATATTTTTACATTAAAATTTTATATTTCATAATATTAAATGCTTAAAGATCTATCGTAGCTTCCAGAGTAGTCCGACAACTCAGTTGGTTCGCTTGTAGAGTATTATAACAGCAAAAAAAAAAAAAACAACTTATTATCCGCGCTCGGGCTACATAATCAGATTGCAAAACATGCAGGCGAGTGGGGCAACCCTTGACCAAAACCAAGCGAGCCAAACACCCCGCAATCCTTGTGCCAAACTGAGCTCAACTGGCAGCGGCTCGCATGTCTCTAATGTGATTGACCCTTACGCCTCGTTGCCGGCATAATACTCGTGTTATCCTTGCCCAACAAGGCAGCCAGTCGCCTGCCATGTTCGTGTCCTACCCTGCCCTGGCCTGGGCTGGCCTCGACTCGCCCCGGCCCCGGTCCCCGCCATGCGCCTCGCTTTGCTTCTTGTTCCCTGCTCCTCCTTGCCTGTGCTCCCATGTTGGTCATCGTGGGCTTCAATAAATTATCACGCCATATAAAGCAATTAATTCTACTGCCCCTGTTGTTGTACCTACTGGCTTGTAGCAAGCGACAAGCGGGCTGTTTGTGTAAAGTTTTTCCTCTTTTTATGTTATTTGCTTATAGCGCTCCGTGTTTTTATTTTGGGGATCGACTAAATAAGCTTTTAATAGCTTTTTGCGCTTGTTGTTGTTAATTGATATTTCCTACGTCATCTCTCCGGCTGTCACTTTCGCCATAATTCGATTTTCTATGCACTGCAAATTTTTCAATTATTTCCATCATGCTAGGCAACAATTTAAGTGCTGGCCAGCATTTTCTTGTTTTCTTCTTGTCGGTCGTATTTTTTTTTTCCATTCGGCTTTTATGACACTGCAAAGTTGCTTGCAAATTACTTTCGCCTTCGCCTAGTTGCATGTTAGTTTCATAGCCCTTATCCTGCAGTCCCATCTCGCCGCCGGTGGGGGGAGCCCTTCTGGAGCCAACGAGGTGGTGCGGCGTGTAAGCTTGATTGGGTTTTTCTTGCGGTTGTCTGTCAGCTTCTATTGCAGCTGCAATGTCGCAATGTTTGGTCGGAAATTAAGTTTTATGCTCCAGTTTGTAACACATTGTCGAACACTTGCTCTTTCTTCATCCCCTTCCCCCTTCCTTGCTGCCCTCGTTGCGGTTGTGTGCAGTATAACAGTGAAAGTGTGTTGCCTTTTAATGCAGTTTGCCTACAGTGCGGCAGTTTCTTTGGACATTTTGCAATTTGGTATCGCGATTAGACAGCAACATGATTGCAAATAATCAAATTTATGGATGCCGTGTATAACAGTGAATGTTGAGCTACGAATTGTGATATACAACTGTTTCTATTTCAACTTTTTTGTATAACAGTTTGGCAAAATATTTTATGAGAGCTTTAAAATATAAACTTTAATAATAATTAATAATGAATAATAAGTAGTGCTGTAGAATAGTATCATAAGATGTTCATGTATAACAGTTTGACAATATATAACAGTATATTTCATTCTAAATGCTCATGAGCTGTGTAGTTTGGTCTGTTTATTAGAACTTTGATCTAATTGAGTAATAATTAACTTAAACATCATATAATTTCATGTAATCTGTTGTGTACTATTGTATAAAACATAAAATGCAATAAGACAATAGAAATTGTGTAGCACATGTTGACATGTGTTTGCATACATGTTATGCTATGTTCTATAGTAAAATTAACTGTGAATAGTTCAGTTATATTATTTACATGGCATTATGCTTTTCTAATCCATATTATCAATTCATACGCTATTCGAGCACCATGCTGAAGCGTTAAAGTGTGCGAATCTGAATCAATTCAATAATCAAACAAAGCCTTGAAATTGCAATCGAGCCGTGAAACGTGGCGTTGTAATAAAATGCAACGCGTTGAAACAATAAAACTGTGAGAACTAAGCAAACACACACATACACACACACTCACACACACACACACACACACAAACATGTCCAGCCACATGCAACCTCTTGAGGCTTTGTCTATATTATATCTATATATACACATACACATACATATTGTAGAGAGATATACATGTCCAGATTGCCGCCACGTTTATTCAGCTCAAATATTGACACTGGCGTCTCGCTGGCCTCGCTGGCCTCCTCTGCTATCCTTTACGCACAAACGCACAAATTTGACGGCTGCCTTGGCGGACAATAAGCAATAAAATTATATGCCATATTGTACATATAGAAATGCACTCACACACACACACACACACACACACACACATGGCGCATGCATGCGCACGCACACAATCATGCAGCAATATAATTTTGAAATCAGTTAAGTGTTGGGCGTTCAATGGACATTGCAAAGGCGGCCCGTCACTGGCGTCGCTGGCGTCCCACGCGTCCTTCGTGTCCTTGTTCCTTGGCGCTGCTGTCGTTTATTGTCGCGCTATGTTGAGTACATTAAATGCGCATCATAAATTTCATTACATTATTATTATGGCGTTGTTTGCGACAACAACGACAACAACAACAACAACAACAGCAACAACAACAACAACTGTCGACTGGCAGTCGTTAGCCGGATTCGACTATTTTATTGGTTTTGGAGCATCTCAGAGCTCATAAATAAAACTATTGTGTTGCCATCTCGTCAGCAGCAGCAGCAGCAGCAGCGTTGACTAACTGCAGTCCCTGACTGCTTCCTCTTGCCAGATTAATGCACTAATTATGGGGCTGGCTGGGCACGCCCCCTAATGCATTTTATCAACATTATTTATGAGTTGACATTTTGCGCATACGCTCGCCAAACTTATTTCTTTTCCATCCCTCGAGGGTCGCATTCCCTCTGTCTGTCTGCTTGTCCGAGCGTCTGTCTGCCGGTCAATGCCCAAATAACGCGCCCCGGCCACGCCCGCTTGTTGTCTCTGAGCAAACAAGAATAAATAACAACAACGATAGCAACAACAAGAGCAGAACTCTGACAATGCGTAGGAAAATTATGAAGGCTTGCCAAAATTTCAACAATGCCTCGCCTGCAATTCGATGACTTATGACTGGGCGGGGTGGGCACGAGGGTGGCTTAGCCAAATTAATTGCTTGCAATCAACAGAATAGAAAACATCAAATTGGCTAGCGCCGCGTGACAATGCACAACTAAATTTTATATTTCAGCAAATAGAGGCGAAATTCCACACAGCATTCGATCGATTGTCTAAACAAATTTTTTATTGACCAACTATTAGTTCACTTACCAAAACATACAACGTGATACACTTTTGCTT